TTAAGCGCGATTGTGCCATAGTTGTTCGTAAATAACTTTTTATCAACTTTAACTTGGAAAAGCTTCGCTCACAGGACGCCACGGAAATACAAACGGTTAGAAACAAGTTCAAACCAACCGTGAGATTTGGAAGTGTTTCCTGGAAGTCCCATTTGACGATGAACTGTAGCACATCCACTGTAGACCTGTGCGCCGATCAAAATATTTTCTGCCGGCGGCAGGGGCGTGGTGGCGTCACGCCGTTTGCTTTCGGCAGCGGTGGCGTGGCGGCGTGGGTCGGCGTGAGTTTATTTTTAATGATTTAGAAAAAAAAATACTTTTCAAACTAATCCCACATTTACAAAAAATGCTACCCACATTTGAGTTCACATCTCACTCCGTCCTAGCAAGAAGTACGGTCGACTTAGTTCGCGCTCCGCTATTTTGGAAGTTTTCTCGCTATTCGCTTTATTTAAATTGTCAGTTTTTTCTCGCTTAGAGTTCCCAGCTAAATAATTAACTAAAAGTAAGTTTTTTCTGAGAAGAAAGTGTGTTTTCGGCATCATCGGAAGGAAAATTGTTTTTGCGATTGCCAATTCGCCAACCATTTTGCGCACCATCGGTGCGTGGTAACGCATACACGCACACGGATCATCGCATTTACACCGCTCATCTATCATCGTGTGTTCAGCTGAGTGCCGACCAGCGTTGCCAGTATTCCAGATTTATCTGGATTTTCCAGATTTTTAGTCGTCTTGATAGATACACAGACAGACCACGTATATTTCCAGATTTTTTAAATAAGTTCCAGATTTTCCCAGATTTTAAAAACATGTTGCTTTAAAAATATCACTGCAATTGATTTACCCTCTAATAAAAAAAATAAAAAGCCAAACTTGCTACTTTAATTATTAAAGGCCATCAACGTTGGTTATTATTGGAATTTTAAGGTAATTCTGAAAATAGTTCACAGTTAAGTGTGAGGCAAATTCTTTGTGAAATCAAAGGAGAATTTCAAGCTACTTCTGTGTAGAATTACATCCATCTTTGTGGGCTTCGGAGTTGTGCGGCGTCACCCATCATTTAGGCGTATTGTGAGTGCCACGAAGTGAAGGTTCGATTCCCGCTCCAGCCGGTGCAAATTTTGACAACCTGAAAATTTCCCTACTGTTCTAATGGGTGTGGTATGTTGTCCGTTGTCTAGTGTTAAAAATTACTATGAAAATTATATTACAACTATGATGACAATTTCATGGAGATTTTGTCAATAAAGGAAATACAATTAGGAAGAGAAATCATTGAAAATTCTTATGTTGAAACTTAAGTAGTATGCTACCCAAGAGTGTTAAAGTGACTATAATAAAAAAAAAGTAGTATGCTGATACGAATCGTGAGAATAGGTTTGGAAGGCCCACCAGCCGATAAATAAAGGTTTTTGTAATAATTTATATTGAAGAATCCAGGTTTGAAAATTTCGAGCATCTGAACACCTCTCTTTTCGCGATTAGAGCCATATTTAAGGAGATAAATAGATCTAAAGGTTTGGAAGGCCCACCAGCCGACAATTAAAGGTTTTTGTTATATATTATACTGAAGAATCCGGGTTTGAAAATTTCGAGCATCTGAACACCCCTCTTTTCGCGATTAGAGCCATATTTAAGGAGATAAATTGATTTAAAGGTTTGGTAGGCCCACCAGCCGACAATTAAAGGTTTTTGTAATATTTTATATTGAAGAATCCGGGTTTGAAAATTTCGAGCATCTGAACACCCCTCTTTTCGCGATTAGAGCCATATTTAAGGAGATAAATTGATTTAAAGGTTTGGTAGGCCCACCAGCCGACAATTAAAGGTTTTTGTAATATTTTATATTGAAGAATCCGGGTTTGAAAATTTCGAGCATCTGAACACCCCTCTTTTTGCGATTAGAGCCATATTTAAGGAGATAAATCGATTTAAAGGTTTGGTAGGCCCACCAGCCGACAATTAAAGGTTTTTGTAATATTTTATACTGAAGAATCCGGGTTTAAAAATTTCGAGCATCTGAACACCCCTCTTTTTGCGATTAGAGCCATATTTAAGGAGATAAATCGATTTAAAGGTTTGGTAGGCCCACCAGCCGACAATTAAAGGTTTTTGCATTATTTTATATTGATAAAGCTGAGTATGAAAATTTCGAGCATCTGAACACCCCTCTTTTCGCGATTAGAGCCATATTTAAGGAGATAAATTGATTTAAAGGTTTTAAAGGCCCACCAGCTGAGAAATAAAGGTTTTTGTAATATTTTATTCTGGAAAATCCGAGTATGAAAATTTCGAGCATCTGAACACCCCTCTTTTCGCGATTAGAGCCATATTTAAGGAGATAAATTGATTTAAAGGTTTGGTAGGCCCACCAGTCGACAAATAAAGGTTTTTGTAGTATTTTATATTGAAGAATCCGGGTTTGAAAATTTCGAGCATCTGAACACCCCTCTTTTCGCGATTAGAGCCATATTTAAGGAGATAAATAGATTTAAAGGTTTGGAAGGCCCACCAGCCGATAAATAAAAGTTTTTTCAATATTTTATATTGAAGAATCCGTGTTTGAAAATTTCGAGCATCTGAACACCCCTCTTTTCGCGATTAGAGCCATATTTAAGGAGATAAATTGATTTAAAAGTTTGGAAGGCCCACCAGTCGACAAATAAAGGTTTTTGTAGTATTTTATATTGAAGAATTCGGGTTTGAAAATTTCGAGCATCTGAACACTCCTCTTTTTGCGATTAGAGCCATATTTAAGGAGATAAATCGATTTAAAGGTTTGGTAGGCCCACCAGCCGATAAATAAAGGTTTTTGTAATATCTTATACTGGAAAATCCGAGTATGAAAATTTCGAGCATCTGAACACCCCTCTTTTCGCGATTAGAGCCATATTTAAGGAGATAAATTGATTTAAAGGTTTGGTAGGCCCACCAGTCGACAAATAAAGGTTTTTGTAGTATTTTATATTGAAGAATCCGGGTTTGAAAATTTCGAGCATCTGAACACCCCTCTTTTCGCGATTAGAGCCATATTTAAGGAGATAAATTGATTTAAAAGTTTGGAAGGCCCACCAGTCGACAAATAAAGGTTTTTGTAGTATTTTATATTGAAGAATTCGGGTTTGAAAATTTCGAGCATCTGAACACTCCTCTTTTTGCGATTAGAGCCATATTCAAGGAGATAAATAGATTTAAAGGTTTGGAAGGCCCACCAGCCGATAAATAAAAGTTTTTTCAATATTTTATATTGAAGAATCCGTGTTTGAAAATTTCGAGCATCTGAACACCCCTCTTTTCGCGATTAGAGCCATATTTAAGGAGATTAATCGATTTAAAGATTTGGTAGGCCCACCAGCCGATAAATAAAAGTTTTTGTAATAAATTATACTGGAAAATCCGAGTATGAAAATTTCGAGCATCTGAACACCCCGCTTTTTGCGATAAGAGCCATATTTAAGGAGATAAATCGATTTAACGGTTTGGTAGGCCCACCAGCTGATAAATAAAGGTTTTTGTAATATATTATACTGGAAAATCCGAGTATGAAAATTTCGAGCATCTGAACACCCCTCTTTTTGCGATTAGAGCCATATTTAAGGAGATAAATCGATTTAAAAGTTTGGAAGGCCCACCAGTCGATAAATAAAGGTTTTGTAGTATTTTATTCTGGGTTTGAAAATTTTGAGCATCGATTAACCTTCTTAAATATAACTCTAATCGAGGGCAGTCAAAACAGACTTCATGGCAAATGCAATTTCACTTCCAGAGTGGCAGAGATGAACTAGCCTATGGCTAAAAATCTCTTAAATAAAGATTAAATAAAAAACTTCCAGAGTGGCACAATTAGCGGTTAGCTATAATGATGAGCGCTCTCTTGTCGCGATTGCTCATTACAGCTAAAATCGCTAATTGTGACCCTCTGAATACTAAATTGACAGGTTTTATGAGTCATACACAAACCCAACATCCTCTGTTTGCATGTTACATATCACTATTATTATTATAATTTCTCATGGTTTCATAATTTCGAAATGTGGCATTTTAGCTGTAATGAGCATTTGTAAGCTTGCTCCATTCCCCATTCAATTGATTCATTGTGCAATTTCACTGATTCTGATCAATCAAGGAGTAGCAACCATTGATCTGTGCAGTCTGTCTACGCTAAGCTAAGCTAAGTTCATGGTGGTTTGTGAACAGCCCCTGTAGCAACTATTAAAAACTTGAAATTAAGTGTTCAAAATTTCTTAAAGTAACAAACACTCAGCTTAACTGTGCAGTCAAAGCATCCAGATAAGCACTACTGCCGTCAGCTTCATTTGTTTGGAGCAAAGATTTCCCTTCATTCCTTCTACGTAGAATTGTAGAAAATATAGCATGGCTATTAATCACCACCGTGCACCACTATCTATCCGGAGCTAGAAACGAACGTCGGACGACGACAACGACGACGATGAAGTCTCGTCCGTCAGCCGATGATGGCGTGTGCATACATACCTAGGGAGATCTGCGAGAAAGCAAACTCAAACCGTTTTTCCCCGTCTTTCGGACCCACGGACTGCAAAAGACATGCTCTGAATTTCCCAAAGTGAACCGAGCGCGGGAGGGCAAAAAGTTGATGTGCACTTTGTCAGCACCACCGCAGCACTACCTACGGACTACTCCTGCAGGATGGTCCCGGAGCTGCTTTATTATTGTATTATTTATTCATGCTCACTTTTCAGCTTAACTAATAATTCATTTCCCTTGATGCTTGATTTTCTCCTGTGGCGATTCGTCGCCGCCGAGTCCGATTGCTCGTTTCCTCTGCTCTGGGACGTTTGTTGGTTTTTATTCGTTTTGCTCTCCGCTTGCAATTTGTCTATGCGCGCTCACCTGGGAGTCATTTCCGCTTTCGTCAAGTTTGCGAGAATTCTACGAATAGGGTGTTTCAGAAGAAATTATTGGAGCTTTGGGATTTCTTTTCGACATTCGGTGAAATTATTGCTTCTGTCTTCAAAGTTCAACGATAGAATCCCAATTTATTTGATAATCATTCAAATCTAACAGTTTGCTGCCTTACAATTGCTCTTATTTCATTTACCTACCGCCAGTAGTGATCCAAATTAATCAACCTGGCACCTTCAGCCGGTTCGACCAAGTAGAACCGAGCTCGGTATTTGCCACCTACCTTACGAGAATAAATCGTATCGATCTCCATGACGGCATCCTCGACGGCGCTCTTGTGTAGTAATGTCACGGTGCATCCACCGAAGCCGCCTCCGGTCATCCGAGTTCCCAGCACACCCGGTGCGCCGAGTGTAGCTTCGACCAGAATGTCCAGCTCGTGGCACGAAACGTTGAAGTCATCGCGTAGAGATTTGTGCGATTCGTTCATTAGTTTTCCCATCTTTTGTGTCGTCGGCACGGGAAGGCGACAGCGGATGACGGGTCACGGGGCAACCACGTTGAGTGAGCGGAGCCATTTCCGGCGTTACAAATGGGACGTCATTTGTATTTGTATTCCGTTGGCAGCATTGCACAGGTTGTTTGCATTGGAAGTTCATTCGGCAGTCACCCATTGTCGGTGTGATGGATAGGGATTGTTTTTATTTTTATTGATAGTGTGTTTCCCGGTCATAAGGATTGAATGTTGAAAACATGAAAATAGAGATAAATTAAAAGTAGAACAGGTGTGTTAAATTTATTATCTGAATGAATGGACAGGTCAAGATATTAGATATTATTTATTATTATTATTATTATTATTATTATTATTTATATTATTATTATTATAATTATTATAGGCACTTAAATACTGTTGGGTCATTCGAGATTTGTCCGAGGAAAACAATTAAACCTGAGACTTTGGCGTGAGAGGTATGGATATAACCCACTAAGCACAGTGGTCCATAACTATGAAAAGACGGTGTTCCCCAAAGGGTAGGTCACTCCGAACACTTATATTGGGTCATCTTTTTTATCAGTGTGCCGCAGGTGTGCCGATTGTACCAGTCATAGAGCTAGCTGCTGTTTGTTTGTAAAACACCCATCCCGGCAACCCGGTATTTCTGACACCTTGAATGATTTGGTTTGAAATCGCAAGGATAAATCGGATTGAGGATGAGGCGGGAGGTGGTGGGTGTGCAAAATTTGGGTGTTTTGTGTTCGTATGATAATAAAAGTCCTGTGTTTACGGTTTTATGAAGCCTTAAAAGGCAGCAACGGTCTATCAGCGGCAGGAAAGAATTGGAACCGGTGGGAAACATTGTAGGAGACCGACTATAGAGGATGATGAATAGACTTCTGTAGTTTGTTTCGTGTGAGTTGCAGCATTATTTGAATTAAGTTTACTAATAAGGTCTGATTAATTGCCTCTGTCTCTTGAGCCCACTCTAGAACCTACATTTCGTATTTAGATCTATAAGTGAACTACTGGTCTGAGTTTCTCTGGTATATTCAATTAGAGGATGTTCCTGAATAACAGCACGTAATGTTGTGAATAAATTCAATGACAGTTGTCCAGCAGTGCTCCCAGTTTAATTACAACAATCCAATGCCTACGAGATAGTGCTGAAGGTGTGCCAATGTATGTGCCCAAGCTAGGCCGAATCTAGTTTCGGCCCAATGGGCTGAGCGACTACCCCTTGGTGTCCTTGGGAAAGCTTCTGAATATAAAAAGACCCTTCTTTTAACATTGACAGATCAATCACTGATGCCCCTAATTAAAGAAAAATTGCATAGTTAGGATCGATGTCTTCGGCAAATTTTTAGAACATATTAAAGTAAGAAATTTTCTACAGATACCATATGTTTTGCTTTAATCACTTTTTTCTTTATTATACAACCATTCCATAGCAAAATGATATATGAGTATGTGTGTGTATTCAATCTAACCCCCACTGGCCGGCAACAACAATCCTTGATGTAATAAGTTAAAGCACGTTTAGTCCGGGTGTTAAAAGCGATAGCTCTACTGCAGATTCAGCAACCTATTTCAGAATGCCTGGTAATTCACGTCCATTCCGAGGTTACTTTTACATACAATAAGCCCTGCATGTAAACAATACCGTTATCATATGAATAATGGTACTAAAAACACACTTTCAGATTTCGAAATGTGATGTTTCGAAATCTGGCGCGTATTTAGTAATATTTGGAAACATGCATTTATGATTGATTTATAATCAGATGGATCTCACCTCCGAAAATGCACCGGTTTGTTCACTCGCGGTAATCGAATGAAATCTTCCGCGTTGGTTTTACAACCGAACACAACATTTTGAATCACATGCGAAGTTTTTCATTTGCACTGAATTTTTGCCTAACACGTCATTCGCGTGCATCATCCGGAAGGCAGAACCCCAGCACCAAGAAGAAAAAAATACCCGGTAAAACTCTTCTTGGCAGGGAGACAAAGCACCAAAAACAAGCGAAAATAAAAATCTACCAACGTGACACCACAGCAACACATCTACCCGAAACAAATTATTGTCCCAGAGTTTTCACGTTAATAACAATATCACTAAAAGCTTATTAAAACGTGATAGATTTTTATTTACGCTTATCCACACGCGAAAACTAATATTTTTTGACTTGGTACAATTAAAAAATATGCGGAAACAGATGAAATCAGCGCCAGCGAAAACAAAACCAACCGTTCGCGGGCAGAGCCTACTTCGAACTTCCATAGCAAAACGATATAGGAGTATTGAGCAAAAATCTAAAACTTGATAACATCAAAAAAATATCACTCAAAGACGAAAAAACACATCGTTGAGTTTGTGGTATAATTGATATAATGTGTAATAAAGCCTGAATTTTCAAGGAAAAATATAAAAAAAAAACATATATCGGCCTCTATCTACAAACCATGAAAATCATAAAAAAAAACACATGCAAACTGTGTTTTTCTTTAAAAAATCTCAATTTATATTTTTTCCTAATTTTTTTTTTAATTATCTTTAACGGGTCGAGGTCATCCTTATAACAACATAAAAAACTACAAGGGACGGCCCAATGGGGTTGTACGCAATTGTTAGGTAGGACTACGTGGTATGATATAATAAATATTTTTGTTAACTGCAGCAGGAGCTTGTGGTTTGTGTAGGAATAGGAATTTTAGCGGGGTTCTCTCTGTTTATACTCTTTAGTATGACTATGATTGCCCTGAAAAGAACCTTTTAATATGAATTTTAGTTGGGGCATGTTCAGAAAATTAACTCTTTGGAAAATGTTGGTGGCCTTGAGAAGGGCCGATGGTAGTACAGGCTTTGGAAGATGATGATGACTGAATAGCTGCGTATTCAGTGACAGCATCACGCATCACACCACCACGTCGAGCCAGACGACGAATGGCAGGCAGAGATGCCAGATCTACGGAAATCTCCGTAGATCAACGGATTTTATAAATTTTTGTGGAAATACGGATCCGTAGGCAAAATCTACGGAATTCGGTACAGTTTCTAAGGATTTTTTCTTCAGTGTCGTCTCCCTTCAGAATCGAATCTTACAATCTAGAGTATAATCTGATTCTGAAGCGAAAGAAGCATAAAGTAAAATACACCTCTGCAACTTGTCAACCGTTTTCTTGCTCACTTAGCGAACATGCAAAAATTACGTAGCATTTGAGGTGGGGAGGTGGGGGTTTCAGAATTTGTGACCGGCCATGTATTGGATAAAGCAAAATACGCTAAAAGGGGGAGGAGGGGTCTAAAATTGATCAAAAACATGCTACGTCATTTATGGATGCTCCCTTATCCACTTTTTGAGTAAGCGAACGTCAGACTGTGCGTGAAACATGGCGCCCTTCGTACTATCTCTTCACTCCGCCAAAAGTTCCCATAATATACCGTCAATCTTTGCTTGAAGAGAAAATTTTTCGACGGTGCCGTGTGAAGGCGAATAAAAGTCGTGTCGAGACCAGTCTTGTAAGCGGTCACCGTTGTCGACGCATATTCTGTGATAATCGACTGCCTTTGCTTCCGAAAATTTCCAAAAGAGTTAAATTTATGAACATGTCCCAACTAAAATTCATATCAAAAGCTTTTTTCAGGGCAGTCATAGTTATACCAAAGGGTCTACACAGAGAGAACCCCGCTCAAATTCCTAATCCTACACAAATTACAAGTCCTGCTGCAGTTAACAAATATCATTTTTCATACAGGGTGTTCGGTTCCTTAGTGCAAATAATTTAAGGGCGATAGAAGATCATATTTGAAGTAAAAAATTGTTTTACGCATATGATCAAATCTCAAAGAATACTGAGATATTGAAGTTTTTCTGTTTTGGTGAATAACTCAGTAATCTTTGAGATTTGAGCATATGCGTAGAACAATTTTTTACTTCAAATATGATCTTCTATCGGCCCTTAAATTATTTGCACTAAGGAACCGAACATCCTGTATAAGAAAACGTAGTCCGACGTCACAATTGCGTGCAACCCAGAGGGCTGTCCCTAGAAGTTTTTCATAAGTTCTATAATCGATTTATCATTTATCATATAATATCACATTAGAACTAAAAAAAATATCACCTTCGACTAAAATAAATCCGTAGATTTGAATAAGTCTACGGAATTGCATAGAAAAAAATCTGGTACCCCTGGATGTTATCACACGATGACACTTGGCGACTCCTTTACCAAATCCTTTGCTACCCTTGCCACGAACGGGTGAATCGCAACTAATGCTATTGGCGTTGACGCTACCGCCAAAAAATCGTCTCTTTTAGCAAAGATTGACAGTTTCTTATGGAAATTTTCAGTGGAGTGAAAGGATAGTACGAAGTCCGCCATGTTTCACGCACAGTCTGACGTTTGCTTACGGATTTTACCATTGGAGTAAAGAGCTACAGAGTCGCCGTCAACGTCAGTACACAGTAACCAATGAGAGGTGAGAAAATATGGTACCGGCAGAGCTGGTTGTCTATATAACAGGTAGCTAACTGGGCGTTCGCATTAGTCGTGGCAAGGGTGGCAAGGATTTGGTAAAGGAGTCGCCCGAGGTGTGCCGAGAAAATGTGATCCTTGATGCCGTACCTGAACACGCCAAGCGCAGACAGTCACGGCCATGGATGTCGTCTACGCATCATTATCACCAACAACCAAGTTCGTTCAAGAAAAGAGTTAGAGTAGAATTTTTAATGAACTACAAAAATAGTTTTCACCATTAAGTCAAGGCTATTTTTTCTCATTGATGGCGCTGTTCCATTGATAGTAAGTTCGAAATTTGAAAAAAGTGGATGGAACGCTTCGGATGCATATTATGGTCAAAATAAGTCAAGAGAAATCATTCATTATCGTTCAGTTTTTTCCTAGAAATTTTTGATAAATACATGGAATGTTGAGATATTGAGATCGTGAGAGTGTAATTTCTCTTTCAAATTTGAATGTTTTTGCTCTCTGGGGAT